CAAATGTTTTGAGAATGATGAGGGCAATGAATGTACAAATGTGCTTTACACAATTGATGTATGTATGAATTATGATAAGAGTTGTATGCGCCCCTAATAAAATGATTTCTTTTTAAAAGAAGAAGCCTTCAAAGCAATGGAAGCATATAAAGCAGGGCTAGCCACATGATTTGTGGAGTCCATGGTAAAAGGAAAATGCTGGGCATCTTCCTCCAAAATTAAGGGTTTCAAGACGGAGACAGCAAAGCTTTAAATCACACAGACTCTTTTGTTTGCACGGGCATAAGTGACTAAATACGAAAATACTGGAGGATTTTTAGCCTAAAAGTGACTTGCTTTGACGTACATTTTTAAATGATCATCTTTATTCAAAACTAATAAGTAGAATAATCCAACAATTCATACAATGCAGTTCATAGCCACCCTATACTTGTATAATTTCCTTTTCTCAGCACTTTTAAATTCTAGACCATTGGCTAAATTAATGACACTATCAATAGAATTACCTTACGCCCCAGAGGAATGATTGATAATGTTCCCTAATATAAAATGATAATGATGTCTCTAAAAAGCACCAGAAACATAAATAAACCATAGACATATGAATGGATTTATGGCTTGCACTTAATTCTATCCCCAATCTAAGAGTAATTGGTTCTTATGACATGACCCTGCTTATAACATGAGGGCCCTGCACTCATGAAGAGATCACTGGAAATATGCATGCTGTAGCAAAGTATGGCAAAGAAGCTAGATGGTGCCCAGCTATCAGAAAGAATAGCATCTACAGTCTTGAATGCTTGCTTTCAAACAAGTTGTCATCTAAGTGAGGCATCTACTAAGTCCACATGGAAGAAGCACTGTACTAGGTAGCCCCCAGGACTCCCCTGAAGCTAATGGCCATGACTTTGAGTTTACAAATTCACTAATTTAAATACTAAAAGAAATACAATTGGTTTCTGGAAGGTTGGCAACTAGCTCATTAGCTAGAAACAACTAAAAATGCTAAGAAAAATACAAACAATTTCTTCAAAGGCTCAAAAAGCTGACAATTTTTTTAATGTCCATGTCAAAGTCTAAAAGAAAGTGTGTCATAGAGAGATAACTGTGTGCCTAGACCTTTTTTTTAACCCCCACATATTTGGTCATCTCTAGAGTGAAGAAGGCAGTATTTAAACGTAAGGACCAATCGAAGCTGGAAAGTCTAATAGTCAACCCTACCCTCTCATAAACCGGAATATCCAAAGAGCTCCTTGCTCTTAGCGGGAGCCAAGGTCAATCTGCCTTCCCTCCCTCCTCCTGGGAGATGACAGAGAACATCGCTGAGAGAATGCCAAGGGGGAGAAGTTATTCTGCGAAACTGTAACCACAAGCTAGCCTCAAAGCAGGATTTTGTCTAAAACAACTTCAAGGAGGTTTAACTAGCACCCCGTAACAGTCTCCCACTGCAGTGTGCAAGTCCGTGGTTTTGGTTTTTGGTGAATTTCCAATTATGTAACCCTCACCAGGATCTAATTGTAGAACATTTTCATCACCTGAAATAAGAAACCCTGTTCCCATCAGCAGGAATTCTTTCTTCCTCTGTCCCTGGCCTATGACAACCACTGATCCAATTTCTGACAACATGGATTTGCCTCTTCTGAATATTTCAAGTAAATGAAATCATACACTGTGTTTTTTGTGACTAACTTCTTTAATTTAGCATCATGTTTTCAAGGCTCATATTGTAGCAGGTATCAGTGCTTCATCATTTTTTACTGCTGAATAATATTCCACTGTATAGATATGCCTCATTTTAATAATCTATTC